AACTTAAATCTAAATTGAAATAAACCTAAATCTAAACTAAACTAAACTAAACCTAAATCTAAATTAAACTATACTTAAATCTAAATCAAGCTAAACTAAACTAAACCTAAATCTAAATCAAACGAAACTAAGCTTAAAACTAAATCATACTAAACTAAAATTAAATCTAAATCAAACTAAACTAAGCTTAAAACTAAATCATACTAAACTAAAATCTAAATCAAACTAAACTAAATCTAAATGGACATGATATCATCACTCAGTTGCTGCAGATTTGTCAGCTGCACATTCATGATGCGTATCTCCCGTTCCACAGCATCACAAATGTGCATTTTGGATTTAGTTCTGGTGACTGTGGAGGCCATTTGAGTACAGCGAACTCATTGTTATGCTCAAAAAACTAGTCTAAGATGATTCACACTTTATATCATGGCGCATTATACTGCTGGAAGTAATCATCAGAAGAGGGGTACACCTCTTTCAGCCCAAAGTTTGAAAAGAAAATATCCTTCGCACCATTACACCACCACCACCAGCCAGAATAGTTTATACAAGGCAGGATGGATTCATGCTTTCATGTTGTTGATGCTAAATTCTGACGCTTTGCTGACAGGAGTTGCATCCAGTGTGGTCTTTTGATGCAGTAGCCCATCCGCCCCAAGGTTTAACATGTTGTGCATTCAGAGATGCTCTTCTGCATATCTCGGTTGTAATGAGTGGTTATTTGAGTTACTGTTGCCTTTCTATCAGCTTGAACCAGTCTCACCATTCTTCTCTGACCTCTGGCATTTGCACCCACAGAACTGCCGTTCACTGTATGTTTTCTCTTTTTCAAACCATTCTCTGTAAACTCTAGAGATGGTTGTGCTGTTGATCAGCAGTTTCTGAAATACTCAGAGCCCTTGTGCCACCAACAACCATGCCATGTTTAAAGTCACTTAAATCACTTTTCTTGCCCATATTGCTCTGTTTGAAATGCAGCAGATCGTCTTGACCATGAGCCTGTTTCAGTAAGGAGGTTCAACCAACTCGGAGTTTAAACTTGAACTCTGAGTTGATTTATCGAGAGCTTGAGTTTTCGGTTTCAGAACAGCAGATCTGAGTTGGGTCAATCAACTTTGAGTAGACCAACTAAACAGAGATAGTTAGCGTGGGAAAACAGCTGCTCAAGTTAATGCGTAATTTGACATTTAAAGTATTTAAATATTTAAGTATAATAAAGTAAGTAATGTAATGTGTGACGTTTATAAATTTTTAAAAAACTTTTATACAAGTTTATCAGTTTTAATAGATTTAAATGTGCACTTGTGTGTCTGCCTTTTTATTGATCAAGTGATAGAGGTTGATATAACATTTAGAATGTAAGAAGTACTAAAAATAGTTTTTAGAAAGAATAATAATCCCATTAATCTAGTAACAACACATGTCAAAGCTCTGAGTTTAAGCTAATTATTTATTTAAAAAGGACAAGCTTGTACGTGACTTTGTACTGTATGTGACTAAAATGTAGGCAATATCTATGTTTCCATCCAAATATATGACATAAATTTATGTGCAAAACTAGAATTTTGCATAAAACATTCGAATAAAGCAGCGTTTCCATCCAACGAGTCAAAGAGAATAAAATAGTCACTTCATGATTAAACGGGCACCAAATATCAACAATAAAATAAGAATTTACTGCGGTATAAGAAGCTGCGCCAATTATTTCCTTATTTAATAAATGTACTTGCGCCTCAGAACAGAAGACAATGCTAACACACAATTAACACGTTATGGCGTTTGAAGCCATGAGACGCGGAGACTCTTGACACGCTCCAGACGCTCGGAGGTAATTAATAATATACACTAATACTAAAACAGTTAAGGCATTTTAGAATGACTAAAGCAACATTTAAGGCGTGTTACAGTGTGCTCAGCCTGCTGGTTTGTCCATTCACACACATTTTCATAATCATATCATGACCTTTTTTTAATGTACATACTGTAATTTGTTCAGTAAAAGTGTTTCCGTCGTAGTGTATGCGCATTTTTTCTATCGAATAAAAGTTTATCCTACTCGGTTATGCGTGTGTTTTTATGCATATTTTTAAAATTTATGTGCATCATGACGTTTCCATCAATCATTTTTATGCACATCTCCCAAAATGAGCTCTAAAATAGGTGTGTGGAGACGTAAGGCTAAGTCGAGAAATACCTCTTCGTCTTTAAAAAGGGGGAGAAGACAGACAGAAACTTTTTAGAGAATAAAGAGTTTAGAGACTAAAACCTGCTCCTGACCAGGTTAGGTTCACAGAGTAAGTTACCACAGTAACTAACTCTGAGTTAAAGTTACCTCTCTTTCAGAAACAGGCTTGACTTATTCTGCTTTCTCGAGATTGACAAACCTGCCATTTTGAAACGGAAAATCCAGAGTTTCTCTTATTTCAGGGTTAAAATACTCTGAGTTTTCACTTAACCTGCTTTCTGAAACAGACCCCATGTCTACATGCCTAAATGCACTGAATTGCTGCCACGTGATTAGCTGATTCAAAATTTGCATTAATGAGCAGTTGGACAGGTGTACCTTATAAAGTGGCTGATGAGTGTATAATACAGCTAAATTTGGATTTTGTGTGTGTTTGTATTGATTTATCTTTATCAAAAATGACTTTTTAATATTACCTGGCAACCAGTCATCATTTTAAAGCTTGTCAGAATGCAACATGCAGGATAGATATTATAAATCTACTCAGCGCCACTCTGAAGAGGTGTAAGGTATCTTTAATTGTACCTTTTGTTAATTTATCATGTTTATTGTGAAGTAAATGACTCATCAGTAGAGCTCATTAATATTCATGACCAATCCAAATATGGTCAATATGGAGCTTTTGATTCTAGGGGTATTTTATAAATATCTAATAATATAATATTAATAATAATAATAATAATAATAATAATAATAATAATAATAATAATAATAAATAATAATAAATAAAAGTTAATCTAAATCATTAATAAACAACTTCTGTCTTTGAATGTTATCATAGTTTTTTGTATTTCTATTTATTTTTCCTGTTAAAATGAATAGACTTTTTAACTTTTAGAGTCTAACTGTTGCACTCTGTTCCTCATTATTAACTAAATCCAGTATCACTGCTACATTAGCCCCATCTAGGTCATGTAATTTAGTGTTATACTAATTAGGCTTAATAGCCTGACATTCATACAGATAGGGTTGTAGGGCATTGACCATGGCTACAAAACCAATAATTAAAGTAAAGAAGTTCAATTATTTCTGTCTTTGGTACTGCTTGTTGCTGTAAACATTTTTGCTTCTGTCTTTTTCAAGACATTTTAAAATGGCCTATTTTGGAAATTGCCTGTTCCCTTTTGAGTATTCCTGTAGTCTGTTGTTATGCTTTGAGCAGGTAGCTGGTCATGGTACAAAAGTCATTTAGCAGAGGTCCTCAGCTGGCACTTAATCTTCTTTGAGAAAGATGAGTTGTGGAGAGGAGGAGATGACTTACATCACGTATAAGAACTATTCCTTGCTTGAATACGCACCAATTGTCCTCCTTCCTCCTTCAAAGAAGTCTACTCTGCCTATTGCTTTATTCAAATGATTTTACAAGCTTCCACATCCATTTGGTATGCTATTATTAAAGTTTGCATGAAAACAACATTTATGTATTTTTATTTTGCTAGCTCACATTGTTTTGTTTGGGTAATAAGAATTAATAACTCCTTACATTTATACAGCGCTTTTCTGGGCCCTTAAAGCGCTTTACACATAGGGGGGATCTCCTCATCCACCACCGTTTTGTTTAGGTGAATAATTGAACTGTGCAAGTTAATTCATTGATGTTTTCGTTGTTCTTTTTTGATCTGGTAATCTTCAACGAACGCCTGACCATTTTCTTCCACATCAACCTGAGGGCTTCTATTGCAACTGCCTGTTAATTTCTTCTCCTACCTTTAAGTTTGCTGTAAGGGAATGATGCACAAAATGACTACTTAATGTTCCAAAAGACTACTTAATGCTCAGTTGATTTACATTAACATACTGAAATAAAAGTCTGAATGAATCACTTTCTGACCATCTGAGACATGGATATTAATATTGCTATTGTGATTTTCAAAAGTATTTGTTGAGCCTCCCCGTACAGTTTGATATATCGCTTGGACCCGGAAGCCGCTTCATATGACGTCACGCTATCCAACAAAGAAATAACCTGATTCATGGGGTTGGCATTTTAAAAGTGAAAGCTAGGCTGCGGTAAGAAAGAAACCCAGAAGTATTGCCTGGAGTCACACAGGAGCGCATCTGCGATGGCATGGTGTTGTGTACCTGGCTGTATTTTATCAGCGAAAAGAAAATTGCAACAATATTTTCCTTTCACTGCTTTCAAAGTGACTCAAGATCCGTTCTGAATGGATAGTTAAAATTATAAGGGAGACCAGACCCCATTTTCAGCTTAAAGGAATTGTAAGTTAAGGGAAATGGCACTAGTTAGCTAATGTTATCTTTCCTAAACACACATTTTAGATGCCATTTATCAAACTTAAGTTAATGAACTGATTCTTTGTTGTTATGATACTGAATTTCGATACCAAACGGTACTTAAAAAAAAAAAATTAAAAAGTCAATTTTCCGCTAAGATTTGACTTTGTACTGAAAAACAGCTGAATTTGCCATTGTGTTTACATGCTCAACAGAAATGATTGCGATTGGCCATAAAGGTCACCGGTTTACTGATGACCTTCACCAATGTTTACCAAGTGCAAACACAGATACATAGACACTGGAGCATTTTAAAGCCCGAAGATCAGCTGCTCTGTCTATAAGCTGACGTATGAATGTCTAATTAACTAATGATGATTCGACTGATCTTTGCGGCTTTAAAACGCTACAAAAAAAAAAAAAAAAAAAAGTTGTAATTGCTAAATTGAGATCTACTGTTATAATGGATGGGTCCTAGCTGCAATTCTGACTGTCTTTTCACATTTTATTTTATAAGGACATTCTCAACAAGCTTGAGAATGTGGAGTCATGTGACCTGGAAGATGATGACCTCATGTTGGATTTGGACTTGTCTGTAGACGCATCATTTCACAGTGGTTAGTGGTGACATTGTTTTGTATTGCACTGTATTTTCTAATGATATATATAATATTTGACTTGAATAAAAAAAGAAATGGTAGAAAGTAGAAGTTCTGATAAATTAAAGACACATTACAGAATGTAACAACACAAGAAATTGAGCTAGAAGCTGAAACATATCTGTGTATAGTTTATGCTTGCAATGCTGGAAATATAGTTGTGCAAATTAAACACATAACGCAATGAGATTACAAACATATTTTAGACAAACTTTTAGACAGTACAAATGAATAATAGGTTTGACTTTCATGGCCACTTAATAATTAAACATTCTGCTCTGTAGTACCCTTTTTATAGACTGTCAGGTCTCACATTATATAAAGTGTCTTTAATTACTATATGAAAATGTAATTGTTAGATGCATTGTAGTAAATCGTTCAATCACTGCAAATTCTGCATCTACAATTAGTTCTTGGTATTTTTATATTTGTTTTAGACACTGATGAAATGTCGTCTTATGAATGGTCTGAAAAAGAAGGTCGGCCTACTCAGAGGAGGAGATGGCAACAACACCGGGGCATGTGTGAAAACAGGTGACCTTTTCATTCTGACATTTGGTGAAGTTGTTGTGAATTTTATGTCTGTACTTATCACAATATGTAAGAGCAAGCAAAGCATTGTTATATATTCTCGAGTTAGAATTACCATCCTTGTTGCAGAGGCTTCTGGCAGACCTGGTTCATGTTTTCTCTCTGTGTGACCTACAGAACTGGCCTTTTGCAGTCATTTGACGGGTTTAGGGGACATGGACTGGAGAGGTCAAGGTCAGACCATGTTACACTTGATGATTTGACACTGAATCTCGTGGCTCAAGACTGCTCTTCTGTCAAAGAACAACTGCTTCAACTGATGACACTGCTTCAGGTCAGACACAACCACATGGCAAATATATTCTAATCCATTTTTCAACTTAAAATTGTAAAACAAGTTCCTGCACAGACTTTTTTGAGTTAACCCCCTGGGGTCGAAGTCCACGTATACGCGTTCTGACAAGTTTTTACCTCATTGAGCTGAAATGAACCTAAATTACACTTTCAGTTTTTATCGTACAGATAAGATCAAAACATCAATCGAATCTGTTAGGTGTCTACTTTTAAATGTGTACACTCACAACAAAAACAAATGTGTGTGCTTTTGCAAAACAAGGATAATAAACAATGTAGGCATTCTGTCTTTTCTCTCTCCGTGAACTGTTTTTAGAAACACGTCAGTAAAATGCGAAAAAACTCCGCAAAAATAAAACTCCCATAGATGAGACACATATGTTTATAAAGCTTGAAGTGTCTACTTTTAATCGCAGCTATGCATGTTGAAAACAAATACTGTATGATAAAGTAATCAGTATGAAACCAACGCGATGTCTAGCTTCTCAGTCTGAGCTCATTAGAGTTAATGCGACCACGCCCACCAAGCTTAGTCATGACAATTAGCATGCATGAGAAGCGCGCAACAGTAGACTGTGTTAGGAAAAATACGTCATTAAAATGAACTGAAACTCAGCAAATACTCGACAAAGAAACATGTGAGATGTTTCTAAAGAAAGCTTGTCTACTTTTGCATTAACCAATTCAAGTCGAAAACAAATAATCTCCTTTCATGTAATCCGTATAAAAGAAAGGGCTGGTACCGATTCTCCTGTCGCCTCATTACAGCGAACGTGATCCCGCCCGCAGTGAAGGCGCAGTTCATATGGAAATGAACTGAGGTGAGCCAGTCAGGTGATAATGTACACGCTCCCCGAGACATGGCATCAAACGAAAAGCTTTATTAAAGTTACTTATTTTTGTTTGAACGATGGCACGCTACACAGGTGAAGAAGCACAGTACTAAACAGCGACAAAGAATTTACCTTTTCAGAGGAAGAGCACGACACTGATGACGAACGCATGCATTTTGAAGAACGTCTAGACTCAGCGAAGGACAGAATTCCTGCCGATAAGTCTTTTATTCTAACCTTTATGATTTATATGAAATATGTCCTTAAAGGCTACTTATAGTTTCATTGCTAATGCTATACAAAGTGTATCCTATACCGCATAGCGTATATTGATAAACATTGGCCTATAATGAAAAATGTAATGTTATATGAAATAAATAAATATATTATTATTATATGTATATTATAAAAATAAATATTTGTTTGCAATACAGGTGCTGTTCTGTTTAAAATTCCTATGTGGTAACTGAGTTTATTAGGTTAACTAGTATCGAGTTATTTTGTGTGATAGTTAAATATATTTTAAATAAACTGCAAACAAAAAAAAAATATATAAATAAACTTACTTTTTTCTCAGATTCTTTCTTGAAACTCTTAGTCACATACCTGTCTGATGGCTCATTATGCAGCTCATTATGCAGGTCTTTGTCTTCTCTGGTGTGACTCACTGCATTGTAATGATAGTTCATGCCTTCTCGCATAAACCATTTTCAAACAGAAAGTGACTTAGAAATTTTAATTCATTGTATTGTTTTCTGTGAGCAAGTGGACAAGATGATTCTCACATCATTTTGAAGCAAAAACACTAGACTACCAGATCCAGTTCTCAAAAGTCTTGTGCACAAATGTTCTCTTTGTGTTTCACGGCCTTGTTTCAGTGACTTCAAAATTTTAGTTTCTCACTAACCACGCATAAACGTTTCTTTCTCAAAAACACAAACACATACAAACATGCTGCTTAGGTATTATTGTACCCTAACTTGTGTTTGTTTCACACTTTAGCCATTAATATGTTTTTAAGATACTGAAAACAACACAAATGTCAGTGCATGTCAAAACTTCTCCAGAGCCCCAAAACACCCTCAGACCCCAGAGGGTTAACAGGACTTTTTGTTGAGTCAAAAACTTGGGTTTAAAGTTATATGTGCAGTTACATGTATGCTAAACATGTTAGCTGACATATATGCTAAAACATGTGCATCAAGTTGTAGCTATACAATTTTTTATTTAATAACTTATAAATTATAAAATTATATTCAGTATAAGAAAAGTCGAAGACAAAGTAGTTGAAGAACTGAATTAAAAGTGAGTTTATTTGTATTTTTTTTACAATGTAAAGCAATTTACATGTAATAAGCAAACTGAATTAGTTAAAACTGTGGGTGTAGTGTAGTATTAACCAAGGTGATTGATTCTGTGGCAGTGTGTGCTGAGGTGAGATACCTTTGCCATTTGTTTATAGAACTAGATTAAGACCCCGTTTACACTCATACATTTTAGTTTTGAAACGCATAGCTTTATCTGTGGTTATGCATTACTTCCACAATACTCTACAGTTTTCGAGCCCTAAAACTGAGCGTTTTGAAAATGCTCTTCAGCATTTTCAAAACGCTCAGTTTTTTTTGAATTTTTTTGAATTTTTTTGAGTTTATTTTAAAATGCTGCTTCTGCATGTCAGTATGAATTAGGGAAAACGGAGACATCTCAAAATGCAGGCATAGTTGCAGACATTCGCTACCCGATTGGGTTTTTTTTTCTCATTATCACAAAGTTGTTTTTTTTTTTTTTTTTTTTTTTTAATATACAAAAAGTTCTGTCTTATATTCTTTCCTTGTAAGTTCAGGCATCACAAATTTGATGATATGGAAAACAAACTCCAGAGGACTCATCAGGTAAATCCTCAAAAGGAAAAGTGTACAATTTAAAGTCATTCACATCACCCTGGCTATTTTGTTTCACTCCTAACAATAAAATGAAAAAATGACATAAGGAACTGCCTATTTTCATTTTAATGCTATCTTAACAGACACTAAAAATATCAAAGCTTTGTGTAGTTACATATTTATATGACCATAATTTTCAATGTATGCAGATTTAGAACAAAACAAAGCCTATAACATAACTGCCTCCTTTCATTTTCAATTAAAAAAATGAAACATACAGTATAAATATTAATTATTTAGGCCTATTTAAATATTAATTTAGTATTTTTGTACAATAATTAAGATCTAAAATGAGATAGTAAAATGTAATCAACTGTGAAAATGTAAATGAACTCTAAATGAAAAAGCTTTTTTATTGACTGTCTTAGTCCTATCACTTTAAAATAACAAACACTGTACATCTCTCTATATTTATTCTAAAACACTGCTTAATAAATAAATTAATTAATTAGATAAGGCCTACTTTTATTTCTTTAATTTTACTTTCCAAAATGAATCCTCATTTCACTTAACAAGTTTACAATGAAAATGAAGCTTGTTAACAAGTTTTTAATGATTAATGAAGGAATTATGATGCTACGTTTACAAGTAGCAGGGTATTTAAAGCTACTGTATTTTTCTGTTTGTTCTCATTCCGTTCCTTTGTGCCCCTGGAGGCACAGTCACAAACAGCAGTTAGTGCAGCGGCAGTGCCACTCACGGCGGTTAAGCTACTTTTTGTTGAATATCAGTTTTAATAATCAATATTGGCCATTATAAAAGTATGACGTTCAATAAGTTTATACAAAATAGGAAATAAAGGCATACAATCAGTCAAATATGCAGAATCAGTATACATGTTTACATAAATGAATATTGTTATCCCTAGTTCATTAGAAAGAAAATAAAGAAAAAAGACTTCCAATTAAATAACCTTTATTAATCACACAAAAACACTATGGTAGCAGGTGAGCAGAATAATCACAATTAGGTTTTCATATCAGGTGTAAACGTGCAATATTTTCAAGCTAATTTGGGGCATACCCCAGTCTTCGATAATGTGCAAATATGCAATACTTCATTTTAATTCAAAACAGTGACATAAACCAACTCCTGAAACAGAGCCAGAAAAACACTCTTATCTACTATCAATATCCAAGCATTAAACATTTAAAATACAACATTCATCACAAACCTTTTAAACCTTAAAGACAGCCCTTACAATATACGTACACAATACTATTACAAATACACAGCATGTAACAAACATGTATCACAATAATGGATCACATGCCTGCAAACAGCTACGATAGCTGTTACCCAGCATTAGCAACACCCAGCAACACCTGCTGCAGGTATCTGCGACTGCACATCCTGTTTAAATACACAGGATTACACGCATTGCCTCACTTGAAACATCACATAACATGATTCTTCAAACTTAGCTTTTCCTCATAAACCATTGATGCTGCCCAACCTTCCTTAGATGGTCCACATTGTCAGATCGGTGTTGTCTGCCTGGCGTGCACGCCACACTTCCTCCTCACCACTGCCACTCCATTCATAAAAGCAGTGCATGACCATAATTTACCATATCTCGCCTAGCCTGTCCCATTATTGTAAACACTCTAAAGTTTACAACCATTACAATAAATTAACTTATCTTGCCAGTCAGCCAAAACATGTTACCTGAGAACAAGTAATAGCTTCAAAGACAAAAGAAACGTTAGATAGAGACAAGATGAATTAAATATCATGTTTACTAACTACAGTAAGATGAGATTCAGCAGTAGATCAGCGGCTAAGTGTGGATGAGGAGCTTTTCAGAAACACTAGATGAGACACCAGTGTGGACGTAGATAGTTTTCATTCTAAATTGCATTTTAAAATTAAAATGCATCCGTGTAAATGGTTCCTAAGACTCCTTGGCATTCTTGTGGCCCCACATCAATTCAAATTTTTTGAAATGTTCTATTTGGTGACATTTAAACAACTTTTTTTATTTCAAACTATCATAATTCTAACAAACAAACCTGATTATAGGGTTTATGTCAACAAATGTTGTCTATATTGATTACCTCTTTTTACAGTTTAGATAATATGTGGTAGTGGAGAAGTTGATGAGGCGAGGATCTAACCCACAATCATGTAATGAAAACCAAGCCAAACAGTTAGAAGCACACAGACATAGAAGCTACAAGGTAACAAATAGGTAGTCGAAGAAC